TTGAAGTCATGAGGAAGCTGGGACCCACCACATATGAGGTGTCCACCCCAGGGCAGTTGCGCTCAAGCAAGGTCTTGCATATAAACCTTCTGAAGGAGTGGGTGGAGCGTATTGAACACAAGGCAGATGCAATGCTCATACGGCGAGTGCCTGAAGAAGATGAAGCAGATGAGCAATATCTACCACCTGCTGGCTCTCTGGATTATGATCTCAGCCATCTCCCAGAGGACAAGCAGCAGCAGGTGAGAGAAATGTGTAAATCAGCAGTCTTTCAAGAGAATCCAGGGAGAACTGACATTGTCGAACATGATATTGTGGTACGAGAAGGTGCCTCTGTGAGACGATTAAGTTACAGGATCCCGGAACGTCTGCTGCCTTCATTGAAGAAGGAAATTGATTTGATGTTATCCCTAGGGATCATCGAAAGATCTAAGAGTGAATGGTGCAACCCTGTGGTCTTGGTACCCAAAAAGGATGAGAGTATGAGGTTCTGCATTGATTTCAGGTACCTGAACTCCATATCCATGTTTGACTCCTACCCGACACCAAGAATTGATGATCTACTTGAACGTCTGGGAAAAGCAAGGTACCTGACCACAATAGATCTGTGTAAGGGTTACTGGCAGGTCCCACTCACTCAACGGTCCAGAGAGTTCACAGCATTCAGAACACCATGGGGGCTTTTCCAATTTACAGTCTTACCATTTGGACTACATGGAGCTCCAGCAAATTTCCAACGGCTGATGGATCAGGTATTACATGACTGCTCTGACTTTGCTGCTGCTTACTTGGATGATATTGTTATCCACAGCAACACCTGGTGTCTCCTCCTGTCTGGCAAAAGGTGTGGCAAAGGGCTGGGAGACCTGAAGTACTACTGACAGCCTAATTGGATTGCACCACATGCTTCATTGCCTGGGAGGTCTTTGACCAACTCCACCATGAAAATCGACCACACATACGCACACACAGATAGGTGTGGGTGTGTTTGTCTCAGGTGTCCAACTCCAGGTTGTGATGGATCAGGCCACATCACTGGAAACTATGCTTCACATCGCAGGTGAGAGTTTGCCTCTCTAATCACATATTCGTTACAGACTACATCAGTTACTCAGTGTATTTATGTCACACTTTGGCAATAATAAAAAAAAAAAAGTCTGTGTGTAGACTTATTTCCTTGGTCCCTACTGCTTACACAGTCCACCAGTCTCACTAAGACAGAAGCTGACATTGAGTGACAAACATTAAGCTAACAGAATATAATGTTCACATAAACTCACTGTAAATGTACTGAGTCCTTGTAAACTGTTAAAATGCACATTAAACAGAATCAGCCTCACCCATATTAGCTTACATGTTTCAAAATATACAAATGACTTTTTTACTTTTTGAGATCATTCTTTTAAAGAATTTTATTTAGCCTATGTTTAAGCAAAGCTTTGTCTTTTCTGTGTGGTCCACTTTCTTCCTCTGTGCCAGTTTGTCTGGATGCCCCCGAGCCAAGAAAAGTGGAGTCAAATCAACTCCTACCAAGGATGACAAAGAAGATTCTGAGCTGCTCAGGTTGGCAACAATAGCTCATTAGCACTGGGTGTGTGTTTGCCAGATTATAATTTGGTTTACTTTGGCTCAAAAGAAATGTATCATAGATATTAAGTATCAGAAGATGAATTATGATGATTCAGATGAATGATGGAGTTTTAGTTCTTACACCACCTTCAGGGCTGTCACAGGACAGCACACTGACCCTGTGAAGAGGACAATCCATCCATCTTCATCCGCTTTATCCGAGGCCGGGTCGTGGGGGCAGCAGCCTAAGCAAAGAGGCCCAGACCTCCCTCTCCCCAGCCACCTCCTCCAGCTTATCCAGGGGAACACCAAGGCGTTCCCAGGCCAGCCAAGAGATATAATCTCTCCAGCGTGTCCTGGGTCTGCCCCGGGGCCTCCTCCCGGTGGGACATGCCTGGAACACCTCACCCAGGAGGCGCCCAGGGGCATCCTTGTCAGATGCCCGAACCACCTCAGCTGGCTCCTTTCGATGTGGAGCAGTAGCTGCTCTACTCTGAGCCCCTCCCGGATGGCCGAACCTCTCACCCGATCTCTAAGGGAGAGGCCAGCCACCCTTCGGAGGAAGCTCATTTCTGCCGCTTGTATCCGCGATCTCATTCTTTGGGTCACTACCCACAGCTCGTGGCCATAGGTGAGGGTAGGGACGTAGATCGACCGGTAAATTGAGAGCTTCGCTTTTACACTCAGCTCCCTCTTCACCACGACGAACCGGTGCAGCGTCTGCATTACTGCAGCCCCAATCCGTCTGTCGATCTCCGGCTCCCTTCTCCCATCACTCGCGATAATACAAAGAATCTTGAGGTAACGGTTGTTATGATTTAGCACTGTATGATTAAAATTTAATTCAATTGAAAATACCAAGATGTACTGTCCCCACTGCTCTTCTGGGGCTACGTCCACACCTACGCGCGTATTTTTGAAACAGATATTTTCAGTTTTCTTTTTTTTTTTACTTTAAATCCCTTCCACACGTGCAGTTTTGAAAAAAATATCTCTATCCACATGTAAACGCTAAAAATGAAGTCAAACGCTGTCAAGAAAATGCCAAATCCAAACGGTGTAGCAATGTTGGCCAATCAGAAGTCTAGAAGCTTAAACAGGGTTTTGTGCCCTCACAAAACCTTAAGTACTTCTGAAAAGTTTTTGTGTTTTTTCTGGAAACACAGCTAATTTTGTGTTACTTTTCAAGCTTCTGTATCATTTCAAATGTTAAAAAGTAAAGACAGTATTTTGAATTTTGTCTCACTGGCTCTCTTGGCCAGAGTTTATTCAATTAAGAAAGAACTGAAAATTTTACATTAGTCTGAGTGATTCATAATCATAAGTCACAGTGCTGTGAAATATGGCTAGTGTAGACTCAAAACTCAAAAATGGACAAAATCCATGCAGAATACATGATTTAATTATGTATTCAAACCCAACGACAGCGTTGGCATCAGGATTTGGGTTGTGAAAGTGTCTGTGCTGAATGTAGAAGCCACGTCCAAAGTTCACTCTGACGCCTCTGTCTTTGTAAATGGAGGGACAGTAACTGTGTTTTGATATGTAAGCGTGTAAAAACTGTAGATTGTAAGATTAACAGCAACAGTATTTTGTCTATATCCACCATTGTTGAAATTCATCTCATGTAAACAATAATGTGGCGCACACCTTTGACATTGCGTGACTAAATCTCAGTTTTCCTTGTCCACATGTAAATGCAAAAAATCTCCACCCTGGCAGGAGTTTTTAAAATCTCAGTTTTCAGTGATCCAAAATGCTGTTTACGTGTGGACAAAAGGTCCAAACACATAGAAAAAGCTGCGTTTAAAAAAAAAAAAAAAAAAAAAAAAGAGAAAAAGAACCATCTACATGTGGACGTAGCCTGGATAGACCTCAACCTTCTAAGCCAGTTCATTAAGAGCGGATAAAGATATCGTTTCAGGAGTGAAATGAGTGGAATAACCCTCAGCCACTCCTGTACAAGGATGTCATGAAACTATACACCAGGAGTGAGCAAGACATCAGTTAACTGTAGGTGATCCAAACCAAAGGGATGAAGTTCACAGAAGGTGCGATAGCATACGTGTAGCACAGCTCCAGGTACATAGGTACCCAACAGGCCAATGGGGACCATCATGAAGAAGCAAAAAGGTCAGTCACAGCCAAATATATCTATGCCCAGGATAGAGTCACAGTAAGATCCAAAAAGTAAGAGAGACACATTAAAAACAAGATCAATAGTAGGATTAAGGTTAGAGCTATTAATACATACATACGCTATGCAGATAACACCCAACTTTATCTATCATCCATAACACACACCAATTATTTAAACTGCAGGAAGGTCATAAAGACCTGGATGGCCTCTATTTTTCTGCTTCTAAATTCAGATAAAACTGAGGTTATTGTATTCAGCCCTGAACATTTTAGAAATACTGTATCTAACCAGATTCTTACTCTGGATGGCATTACCTTGGCCTCCAGTAACACTGTGAGGAACATTGGAGTCATTTTTGACCAGGATATGTCCTTCCATACCCATATTAAACAAATATGTAGGACTGCTTTATTTGTACTATATCTCTAAAATTAGAAATATCCTGTCTCAGGGTGATGCTGAAAAACTAATTCATGCATGTTTTACTTCCAGGCTGGACTACTGTAATTCATTATTATCAGGATGTCCTAAAAACTCCCTGAAAAGCCTTCAGTTAATCCAAAATGCTGCAGCAAGAGTACTGACAGGGACTAGAAAGAGAGAGCAGATTTATCCTATATTGGCTCCTCTTCATTGGCTCCTCACATAAAGGTATTTAATAATCAGGCCCCATCTTATCTTAATGACCTTGTAGTACCATATCACCCATTTAGAGCCTCACCTTGAGGCAACAGTTGTTGCCTCAAGGTGAGGCAATCAGAGGCAATAGGTCTTATGAAGTAATGAGTTCAAATTTGGAATTATAAAAAAATATTTTCAGAAAAGGTCAGGTGTAATAGTAGTTGTTTACAGGGAGTTGTATTTTTTTTTTTTTTTTTTTTTTTTAAAAACTGGAACTCTGTCATGGTTTAGTGGTACATTTCAGCCAGTAGGGTTGGAGATCTGGTCTCTTCCAAGTTAGATGTGCCTGGAACATTTCCAAAAGGAGGTGCCCAGGCTCTTTTTCACACGCAGAAACAGCTTTCTTCTGAAATCTTTCTGGATGTCTGAGCTCCCTAACCTTCTTCTAAAGCCGAACCCAGCCATCCTACAGAGAAAACTCTTGTGATGTAGAGGGACTGGTAAATTGAATGCTTTGCCTTTCAGCTCAGCTTCCTCTTCACTATGGCAATCCAGTACAATGCTCACATTACAGTTGATGCCACACCAATCTGCCAGTCCAACCTGTACTCCGTTACTCATTACTCATGAATAAGACACTTGAACTCCCTTGATTAAGGAGGCCTCTCACCTCTGACCCAGAGAGACCATTCCACTCTTTTTCTGGCAAAGAACCATGGCCTCAGACTCTTGGGTGTGCTGACTCTCATCCCAGACATTTCACACTCTGTTGCAAACTGCACCAGTGCATGCTGAAGATTGCGCTCTACTCTTCCACACCCTTCTCAACCTGGAAATGCCTTGCAATCCTGTCAATATAAATCAAGAATGTTAGAGACAAGGGGTTGAATCCAACACCTGCTGAAAACATGCTTAGATTTGTTACATTTGTTTGTTAAATTTGACAGCCCCACAATGTCAGTGTCAATGTTGAGATGCGAGGGTGAATCTCATCCAAACATGGTGCTCACACCCATGATTCTACAATTGCCAAAGCCACAGCCCTTTTGGTGCTCTGATACTGCTCTACTGCTTCACAACACCCCTGGTCCCACTGCCGTGACAGGTACAGATGAGCTGGATTCCTCCGAATTGGTCCTGAACATGGCCCATTATGACTTTATTTACCCCACCCTCCCCTGGGATGGGACTCACTCACTCACTCACTCACTGCACAGATTTCCAATAACATTGTGGGCACTGAAGTCTCTATAGAGAAACATTGCACCCAACCACAGTGCTTGCACCCATGGGTGGTGGATCCACAGGGTGGCAAAACTATGTTATTTTTGTGTGCTGTGCCCGAACAGGCCCCATGGACCCAGGGCTGGATCCAATGGTGGGCCACAATTTAAGGTTAACCAGCCCCAAGAACTCAGTTCCATGAGGGTTTTTTGAATTGTTCTTTGACAAATAATAAAGGTGGCCATGCAAAATATTTACAATAAAGCTCATTTGAAATGTACAAATTCTATTTTTGCTGTATTTTCATGTATGTTTGTACATTTAAATAAAAACCTATTTTCCATTTCCCTGGCAAAATCTGAAAAAGTGAGGGGTTGCTCAAGGTGTGTGTGTGTGTGTGTGTCTCCCTTCTCATCCATGTCCACTATTTCAGCCTTGTGTGAGAATGTAAGAGCTCTTGATCCTCATCAGCTGCTTCTCTCAGTCTGTCAGGTTGTCCCAGAGCATCAGCCAACAAGAAAAGAGCCAAGTTCCCTGGAGATGAGTATATCACTGCAAAGTTCAGAGCCAGTGATGGTAAGAAACCCTGATTATGCTGCCCTCACGACACGTGACCCTGTGAGGTTAGACAGCTAGCGAACAAATAGAAGAGGTCTTCCACACAAGGCTTGACTTTCTTGTTTTTATTGAAGATCCTTTTAAAGCCTTATGTCTCTCAAGGCTTCTCCTTGCTATTTCTTATTTGTAACTGAAACACAGAAAATAAAAATAAGTTGCTAGCTAACACACATCTTAATAACAACTTGCCGATTAGCCTAGCTTAACATGTACATTACATCAGCATACAGTTCGCTCCATGTAAACACATATAACGACTGTCTCTACACATGTCAATACTCACAAAGACGAACGTTTTCCGAGGTGCGAACGTGTAGAGCACTCTTAGTGTGAACATGAACTAGTCCCTATTTAATAACTGCCGGAGCACTTTTCACGACATCATAAACGAAAGGGTACATCAAAGATAGGTTAGTGAACAGGACGCTCCCTCGCTCCATTTCCGCACATAGGATACAAAGATCTCTTGTGGAAATGATGTCTCACTCTGAGCTTATTTATCACTCTGCTTATGTGGCTCAATCAGCACACACACCAACCGCTGACCTTTGACTCAAGGGCATAACACTGATGTTTCCTCTCTGCTCAAAATTATGCCTGTGTTACATTTGTTTTTCCTCCTATACTTCCCAATGAGAGTTACATTTTATTTATATAGCACTAAAGCAAAACAACAGTTGCCCCAAGGTACTTTATATTGTAAAACCACTACTATAACAGAGAGAAAACCCCAACAATCAGATTACAATTAGATAGTTTAAATGCTGAGTGTAATCCAAATAACAGGCTACCAACGCAGGACTATTAGTTGTCTTCACATTCATTTTGCTAATAGTGAATTTCTGATCTTGCTCAGTGCTGGACGATGATGAAGATATCAAGCAGCTCAATAAGGAAATCAACGAGCTGAATGAGTCCAACTCAGAGATGGAGGCCGACATGATAAACCTGCACACTCAGGTGAGTGCAGCTTTTCAGTCACTGCACAGCCAGCAGGACCCCATGTTCTATTCCAGATATTGCCATGTGACATTACACCCAGATGTGGTGTATTCCGACGCAGCTACCAACACTGGTAAAACATTCAACTCCATAACAACCAAGGAAACATAATTTATACAGTCCAAGTTCTTAAAAAGTTGAGCCACTGTGTAAAATATTAAAAAAAAATAGGAATATCTGCAAATTTTACAGACCCGAACACAGAAAGCATATCAGATGTTTAAGCTGAGACATTTTACTATGTAAAGGCTGGAAAAGCAATTATTACTAAAAAGAAAAGAAAAGAAAAGAACAGCTGGAGGAACATTTTGCACTTAATTTGAATAGTTGGCCACAGGTTGGTAACATGACTGTGTGTAATCAGAGCATCTTAGAGACAGAGTGTCACCTTGTGCAAAAATCTGTTTTCAATTATGAAACAATTCCAGAATAATGTTCCTCTGTGTAAAATTGCAAATCTTTCAATATGTCATCATCTATATGTGAAAGACTGACCAACACAGCATTCTGTAACTGTTTGGTTACTGTTCTGTAACTATTGAGAGCATCCTCACTGGATTGAGAGCATCCTCACTGGATGCATCACCACCTGGTATGGCAACAGCACCGCCTACAACTGCAAAGCGCTCCAGCGAGTAGTGCGGTGCTCTGAACAGATAATTGGAGGTGAGCTTCCCTCCCTCCAAGACATCTACAGGAAGCGCTGCCTGAGGAAAGCGGGGAGGATCAGTTACAGGTGATAGGTCGTCATCTCTAGCGAGGGGCAGCGCCTCAGTGTGTCAGTTTGAGCTCTCAGGTAGACACAGCAGCTGTAATGGGAAAAAAAAAATGCCTTCATTGATTTTAGTTTCCATGGAAACTAAGAAAATCAGAGTCAGCCTCCAAAGCTCTCAAATTTTCTGCTGCTATGAATCACACTCACCCCTAACCTGCACAGGTGAGAGTTTTGTCACTCCTTCTGAGGCTTAATAAAACGCCAGCGAATCCCAGAAAAGATTTCAAGGTCTTCAAGTTGGTTGGAATTGGCCAGGATTTCAAGGTGGCAACCTTTTCTGGGTCTGTCTCAACACCATTTTCTGAAACAATGTGGCCCAAGTATCGGACAGATGTCTGAAAGAATTTGCATTTTTCTGGAGAAAGTTTTAACCCAAATTCTTTCAAGCGATTCAACACTCTCAGCAAACGGTCTTCGTGCTCCTCAAGAGTGTTGGAGAATATGATCAAATCATCCAAAAACACGAGGACCTCTTTCAAGTGCAAGTTGCCCATGCACTTCTCCATGAGTCTTTGGAACGTTGAAGGTGCGTTAGTAACTCCTTGAGGCATTCGGTTGAACTCCCCAAACCCGATTGGTGTTACAAAAGCGGTTTTGGCTTTATCAGCTTCATCCATCTCTATCTGATAATAACCAGATTTGAGATCAAGCACAGAGAACCATTTCGATCCAGTGAGTGCTGTAAACGATTCCTCCAAGTTGGGCAATGCGTACGCATCCTTAATCGTTTGCAGGTTGAGTTTGCGGTACTCAATACATAGTCAAATGTCTCCATTTTTCTTCTTGACAACCACTATTGGTGATGAAAATGCTGCCGCTCCTGGGCCTGGTGCAAATTCTCTCAAAATGATCACCCCAAAGTATGCAGCTTTGCTCACAAGTCCAGGACATACTGAATCTCATTTTTAGCGGGACTCAGACCTTCCTCCCAGTTTTATTTGATTAGGTTGAGCAGCCCTGTAGCTTTCTGCAGAACAGTAACTTGAAGGGAGAAAATTCCATGGAGGCCCACAATCAGAGGGTCTAACCAGCGATCCCAACTATGTTCATTCTCATAAATGAACTTACAAATCATGGATTTTACAGACTGAAATGACCTGAAACAGCAGCACCTGCACCACTCTCTTTGCAGTGCACAGTGGCACTACTTCTGGGTATCACGTTGCATAAACCACTAGAACTAAGACAAAATGATAACTGCATCCAGTGAAATGGCCAGATCCATGCCAACAGGCTCAAACGGGACCTCCATTTATGGCAGTGGACGCAAAGACACTCCCCTGTGCAAGTGTCACAACTCACTCAATAAAGACTTGACTCCTTACGAGGATGCTGTATGTCCCTCAGGGACCGGGGAGGGTGCCGGAGCCCCAGTGATGCGGAACACCTGTCACACCTCAATCAGCAGACACTCCCACTTCAGGTGTCCTGGCTGCACTCACTCCCAGCACTCCTGCCCTGGTGCCCGTGCCATGGCTCAGAAACAGTGCCATTCGCTTCAGGACCCTCGGGGACAGAAAAAATGTTTTTTTTTCTCAGTACTCAGTGCCAGCTATGACGCCGTTTAAAATGCAGAAGGTTGCAGGGCCCTCCCATGGCTCGCTCATCCAATTATTTTCAACTCCTGTCACAAAGTCAAAGAAGAAGTGCAGACCACCCTAATTCATCACCTTGCTGCCAAGTGATTTCTTATGTTTATCTGTTCTGTGCCAATCCTTGTCACAGTTTTTACTTGTATACTAATCCCACTATGCATTTTGATGTCTTTAAAGCATAATCAAGCAAACAAGCGACAGAATGCTTTGGAGACCTTAACTTTTATAAAAATACAGTTTTGCTAATGTCCACTACACTGCCAACCTTGAAATCTTGACAAGGCTTTGTTTTTGTTTTTTTTAAATGAATCCATGCAGAATTCACTTATATGACCGTTGGGAAAACAATGGAATGTCTTGCCTTATCAAGACTTCTTTTTTCCGAGAGGTAAATTTACCAAAGCCTGCGTTGTTACTTCTGTCCTATTTTGGTTTATGAGTAATGTTGGTGAATGAGCTGAATACTACACTAGTTCACTCTGTTGTGTATATGGGTGTCCAGGTATTTGTATTCCTCCACCACATCACATTGGAGTATAGAGTGTGTTATACTTTTGTCACGATAATAGACACTGTAGCCGATTTGTATCTACAGGTATCAGAAAGAAGCCATAACCAAGGTACGTGGATTATTTCTTTTTATAACTTCAGGACATTGCAGGTCAGCTAGTTATGTGACGTACAATGCTGTGATGTCACACCCTCTTGTGCTATGTTCCAAATTCATGTAAGACTTCCAGAGTGCTCTGATGACATTGAGAAGGACCAG